TAGCCATGTAAGCTGATAGACATTGAACACAAGCAGGAAATGTATTAGTTGGGCATTTGCAGACAATTAGTCTGGCAAATAAAATATTGACCATACAATGCTTTTTTTTGAAAATTGGTCTTTTTCTCATAAAATGTATCAGGTCTCTGTCTCATCAGTTTGGTCTTGACATCATCTCTGGTCACTATTCACAAAAATAATCAATCAAAATTAGAGTTTCTGATTAATATGCTTTCAATAATTTTAACAATCCCAATCTCATGTGAAAATAATCAATTAGTTTAATGTAATTGACTAATGAGTCCAACTATTAAAGGCATTGGACAGTTAAAAACACAATACATTTGTATTTATATTTAAATGCCATAGAAATACAAGTTGAAAAGTATAGACAAATCATTTGTCAATAATTTGCCCCCATCATGGCTCTGCAAGCTCCCAAAGTTAATGCAACAGCCAGCCTTCGTGATTGCTTGGCTGAAAAATTGGGTCAGAGGTGAGTGACATCACTCAAGGTAAACAAGGCCTGTCTTGGTCGGATTCCTCTCTGTGTGCCATTTTGTACATGGATAACTGTCATTTTTTCTGGACAGATTTCATTTGACAGACATCATGAATACAGTTATTCCTGAGTAAGTTGTTCCAGGATGTAAACAATTATTCGCTGTGTTGTTTACAAGTATTGAAATATTCCCAAGGAAAAGGAGGTATCTCTGCACACCTTTCTACCAAAGTTAGACAAAAAACAGCACATAACCTGGACAAAGTTTGTATCAATAACTCTTGATAAATGGAGTCCAATCAAAAGCTGCCAAAAGTTCCAGGATGTAAACAATTATTCGCTGTGTTGTTTACAAGTATCGAAATATTCCCAAGGAAAAGGAGGTATCTCTGCACAACTTTCTACCAAAGTTAGACAGAAAAGAGCACATAACTCTTGATAAATGGAGTCCAATCAAAAGCTGCCATGTATGCAGTGAACACTTTTTGGAATCAGACATCGAAAATAAATTACAGGCTGAGATGGAATTTGAAAAAAGCCTGGTGCTAAAGAAAGATGCAGTGTCCAGTGTGTATTCGAAGTTCGAGGGAGATCCATCAAACACAGCAGGCATCAGCCAGGCTCATTGCCAATGGTGAATCACACTCTTGCTCCCAGACCAATAACAGCAATGATAGTCGTGTGCAATCAGCTGTTGGAAAAGGAGAGGCATACAGGGTAAGCTCAAGTTTTAGCTAATGTTTTAAGCTCAATATAGAATTGCCAGCAATCATTCAGGTTTTAAAAACACACCAGTAGATATGCTAAAACAAGAGATTTTATGAAACTTCACTTTCAGCTATTATATACCAAAAAAGGGGCAAGGACAAACAATTGTCTGTTTTATTTATTTATTTATTTATTTTTCATGGTTGTAACACTTTTTTTTATAAAATTTCATTGGAGATGTTAATATACAACATAAAAAATGCTAGCTCTACAATATCGATTATAGAAATATGACCCCAGCTATGTTTGCTTTTCCAGTCCTAGTGTATACTTAAGTCATATGCATGCAAATTGGAGCATATGCAGAAAAAAGTATCAGGAGTAATTCAGCTGATATTAAATCTACATCTAGATATAGATCCACCACTTCAAAAAACAAATACTGACTAGAATTTACTCATACTATATTATCACTCATGTGTACATCTCTTCATGACTCATTCAAACTGATCAACCCTAAATCTGTAAAGTTATGCATAATAACTTTTACCATAACCCTGAATTTACAATGTATGGCTTCACAAAATTTATCAAGCTTTCCAAGTCTGTTGTGCACAAAAAAATCAAAACTTTTTAATATAGTATTTCTACTAACAATTTTTCGATATATTTACAAAACCATTTACTTAAGCCAGTCTGAATAAAAAGTTATTTTCATGTAAAAAAATAATTTCTTTTCATCTTACACTTGTCTAGTTTCATTCGCACATCCTCTTGAACCTCCTAAGTAATTTTTTTTTCTGCAAAACTTTATATTTTCTCTTACGTTTTTCTACCCTAAGTTAATTGTAGTAAATTCACCAAGGTACAGTGAAATAAAAAGTTGAAAAATGTGACATAAAATATATTGGTCACAATAATGGAATGTCACAAAACAACTATAATTTAAACTAAGTAACCTATAAATGGGTTGAAAAAAATTCTGTTATTACTCAGAGCAGCAAAATATTACTTCCTCAAACCAAGCAATTCCTGTAGACAATGGCTTATTGCCACCAAAACTAAACAAACTCTTGAAAGCTTTAAGTAGGGAAGAATCTGTTCTTTCTATTGGTTGTAAACATGCCATCAGCCATGTGAAGTTCATCAGCAATTTCAAAAGTAACAGAAAGATGGGGATGAACTTCTCTGGTGAATTTGACAAATTTACTGATTCTTTGCATTTGCTCTCTGATAAGAGAGTTCAGACATGCCAGTACCTATCCCAACTTTCACCAGGAAACAAATTCAGAAAGTAAAAAGAGTGATATTACAAATATTACATAACCCATATAAAATGTATAAAAAGTTTATAGTTTGACACTAATGAATAGTTATGAAAATTTTAAATTAAAATGCAACACAATGCAAACAAAACAAGTTCAAAACTTCAATATTAGATAATACAATTATGCAATTAAAAACAAGAAACATATTACTCTGTAAAAAAAACACTAAATTATCTTTTTTTAAGTACACAAGGGTTAGTGGTAGATACTGCTGGCCAGTTCCCTTCCCTCTAGGTACCAGTTGGAAAATAAAGACAGTGGCAGATGGCCACTCAAAAACATACAAATAGAATCCCCTCTATGGCTGAAAGGGTGAACAATTCTAGTGGCAACAGTAATCAAACTCCAGACTCTCCATTAACATATCAACCTTCTAATCACTTGCCCATGTCAATGCAAAAGTGAACAAATTTGAATGAATTAAAAATATAATAATGAGAAATAAAACTGGCAGTATTTGGATTACTTGAATAGTGGGAATAATACAGAATAGTAATAGTTTGAAACCTCTATTTTGATTAATCAAGTATTTTTGTGATATTAATAAATTAAATTATAATTTTGACTTATCGATTATTATACCTGCACTACTCGATACAATTGATGTTCGCAGATAATTATATTTCTACTGATTAATCAGGTTAATTGCCTAGCTCTAGTTACAACCCAAAACCCTGTTTGCTTTTCCACTGGCAACAACACACTACTATGAAAGAATTAAGAAACTGATTGACCAAAGTAATACTCCACACACAATGGCAAACTAAGTTTATGATTCTGTCAATTTATCCCAAAGAACCCAAAATAAATAAATAAGAAATAGATTATATGAAAATATATGTGCTATATGCAAGAAATATTTGCACATTTTCTCTCTAATTATACACCAATGAGGGTACAAAGTAACACAAGATCAAAAAGGTATATCACAAAAGAATGCAAAGACTGGGACATGACAAAAAGATGCTCAAAAAAGAAGCCCATTGTGGAGACAATGCAACCACTATTAATTTTAAGCAACTTTAAGTGTTTTATGAATAACAGTATCTTCTGTGATATCTTGTTCACTACATCATGATATACAGAGAAGTCAATAGTTCAGAACAGATCAAGTGTAAAACTGGTGTCACACACCAAAATCACTGCTAATAAAAGTCTGCCCACACCATGTGGTTGAGGAAATTAGTCAAAATTAAACCAAGTCTCTCTAAGCAAAAAAAAACAGTCTAAACTATAAATGTTGCAATAATTCAGACATGATATTTACATTGCTACAACAAACTGAACATTTTCATTTGGAAATAAGCAAAACACTTTAATTTTCTTGACTCTTTATACACAAGATATATGAAATAGTTTACATTGATATTTTAATAATTGATGTGCTTAAAAATCTTATATGATAAAACAAACTTCAAGGCTGATTCACCATAATTTTTTTTAGAACAGTACTAGTAGCTTACATACGTGATATCTGTATCACAATAAGTATCAGTGCTCGTTATTCTCTCATTGTTCCTAAGTACCCCAACTTAATTAACATAATTGATGACGAGGAACCCACTTTGAGACTAATAATGCTTGGAGATGGCTTGAATGAGTAATGAAGAAAAACTTTAATATAAGTTTAACATAACAGCAAATGTACAACGTTTTGACAAGGTTTAGATGTTGCTGCGATTTAAAAATTCATTAAATGTAGATGGTGGATGGTAGAGCGCTGTTGTCTGCCTGCTGGTCAGTAGTACAAGTTAGATAAGTTTAGTACTTGATGATAACAAAACCTTGTCGAAACGTTAAACATTTGCTGTTATGTTAAACTTAGCTTGAATGGGTGTAATAAAGAAAAACTTTAATATGTCTCCAAGCATTATTAATTAACATATGCATTCTTATTGTTTTTATACCTTGTATTTATTTAATTAATCTAATAGGAAGTATTCTTCATAATGGATCTCCTTAGTTTAAATTTAAAATGTTTCTGTATACATTTAACTAGTGCAATACATAGTAGTTTCTTGATAATGAAGTCTCCTAGGTAAATAATGCATTTTAAATTTAAGTTTCAAAGATGTCATAACTTTTGAATGTTTTTTTTTTTATTATTATTATTTATACTTTTTTGAGTTTGAGGTAAATTGACGTACTACTAAATTTACCAAAGCCTAGACCAAGTTAAATTAAAATTAAATAAGTATGTTATTATTAAGCCTTAACGTATGGCAAAAAACTATGGACGAGGTTCTCATAGTTTCAGCTATCTTTTATATAAAGTTTGCATTCAGCCATACACCTTATTAATCTAGTATACATAACAGTAATTTCTAATGGCACATAGAAAGTCACAGTCGCATGCCTACTTGTAACTTAATTAATATAAACGAGGTTTCTAGAATCCTACGTTAGGCCCAGCTCTTTAACAAAAAAAGTTTTACTTTTACTACTAGTAATAGTAAACCTACCAGAATTAGAGTATGGTCAGTCCAATCCAAGTTTTGCTGAAATCTTGCTGTGAAATACATAATGCAATTTTAGACTTAAGCTGTATTTAAAGTATGTTGAAAATTTATATTACTAGTAAACGAACGTTAATTAGCTCACTACAATTTACAAATTTTTAACGGAGCTAAATCACCAGATCACAAACAAACTTCGTTAACTTATTGTCTATGATCTTCTCGCTTGCCATAACTTTAATATATTTAAGAAAATACTTTTCGTTTGTTATTAAACGCAGAGCTACACAATGGGCTGCCTGTGGTCAACTTAATATGAAAATCCGATTTTAGCGTTTTAAACCCTCAAATGTGTTGCTGAATTACCCGAGAACTTACAAAAGGAATGTAAACTATTATAATGTGGGACAGTGACACACTAGTCCCACAAACATTATAAGTTTTTGTTTACGCCATTACAAAATACAGAACTTTTACAATATTTTTTTTATAGGGGCCGGAATGTTTACAGTAGGTGACTGTGATTGTTGGCGATAAATTTCAACAATAAACGGACAGCACGCAATCCACTTGTTTTAAATTAAATATATTAAAAAAAGTGAAACATCTAAAAAAATTCGTTATACTATTGTTTACTATAGGTAAATCTAGAGCTTTAAATAATTATATTTTCCGTCAAAGTCCACACAAGCTGGTTCAATTACTTTAAAACCCAATTGACAAGACAAATTATTTCTTCTCTCCTCTTTTATCACAATACAATTAGTGATAACTTCATTTATGTTACCCCGTGGGATATTGCAGTCGTATCCAGAGCTTTAAATAATTCTCCTTTATGTCCAAAGTCCACACAGGCTGGTTCAATTACTTTAGAATCCAATTTACAAGACAAGTTCTTCTTTTCTATCTTTGTTGTTACAACACAAGCTGTGAAACTGACTTCAAAATCACCACTATAACTGTTGGCTATCACATTTGTATCCAAGGCTTTAAATAATTGTCTCCTTTTTGTCAAAGTCTACACAGTGGGATCAATTACTTTAGAACACCCTTTGACAAGACAAAGTATTCTTCTTTATCTCTGTTGTTACAATACAAACTGTGAAACTTACTTTAGAAATCGCCACTTATGGCTAAATTCACGATCATGAAATCTAACTTCACTTTCATTAACTTACTTCTATTCTGTATCTGCACATATGTATAATACATGGCAAAAAAAATCTAGAAATATCTAGGTCTCTAGTAACAACAATATTAAACATTAATACTAGAAATATACGACCTAATAATACCAAAATGTTGTTTTTATTTAGACACTCAACGTTTCACATTACAGCTTCTTTAGGAGCATTCACTAAAATACAAACCAAAAGCGGCAGTACAAAGCTTCAAATGGGTTAAATAATATATTCCATTCGAATCTATAATGTGCATTTCTACAGCATGCTTTTGACATATTAAGTAGTAAAGCTTATTGTTAAAAGAAAAGTATTGTTGAAATAATTAACTACTACCTGCAGTAAACTAAAGTTATATAAAGGTTACAGAGTGAAATAACAAAAAGATATGATAACAAATATAATAAAATAATTAAAATTATAGGCATCATTCTTTGTCCCTGTTCATCTGTGGTCATAGTTGTTCAATGAGAAAAGCTTTTTTTGAATTTTCTGCCAGTGTACTTGATGGCTTTGGTGAGAATTTGTATGGAGAATGGTGGCTTCAAATCAGTTATTACTTGTCCATAATTAGTTTAAAAATGGTCTCCAATTGCACAATTAAACCACATACATAATGTACGACTCAGGCAGAGTTAGGTAATGAAACTTGTCATAACTATCACTTTTAACATAATTAACTACAGATATTAAATAACGAGAAAGACTTAGAAGCTTCGAGAAATATGATGTCAACAATATTACAAAAGCCTACTGCAACAATTATACTGCATACGCGATGTATGATGTATGACTCGTGCAGAGTCAAGCAAAACTTGTCATAACTATTGCTTTTAAAATAATTAAATTATAACACTTGTTATCAAAACTAAATAATCATTATATATTAAATCACTAAATAAACTAAATAATAACTCTTAAACTAAACAGTCTTGTATATCCAACAACTTTGATTATAAATTCTTAAGGAAATTATGCTAAAATTCATAGGTTTGTTTGTAAATGGCATAAAAAATTACAGTAGGTATTGGTCAATTTTATTTTGTTTGGAATTAAGCACAAAGCTACACAATGGGCTATCTGTGCTCTGCCCACCACGGGTATCGAAACCCGGTTTCTAGCGTTGTAAGTCCACAGACATACCACTGTGCCACTGGGGGGCAAATTCATAGGTGATACTATAAATATTTGAAATTTTGCTACATACATCTATCCTTCAATGTTGTAGCATTTAAATACAAACTACATAATTGGACTCTTGTGTTAGAAAAATAATATGGCCTTAAGTGAAAACATATCTGGCCTTTTACTTTTATTATCTGAATTCTTTTAAATGTCATCTACATTTATGAATTTCAGACCATGAACAATCTTAAAAACCTACGTCATGTCTTCTGTCCTTTTACCAGAGTCTTTCTCCTCCTCATGACTGCTGAGAGTCATTATGGGTCTTGGGAAAAATTGGTATGCGACTTTCTCAATATCCCAATAATTTTTAGAAAGATGAGACATACAAACTTAAATGATTGGAGGTATGGTTAATATTTCCTTAAATGTTTCATACTCATTTCAGGAATTATGTGCACATTTTCTGCTATTGTAATGGGCCCCCTGTGGGGGAGTAGGCCTTGGGGAAATATCCTGACCTCACCCCTCGGTGGACCTTCTCCTGAATGTAAACAAATTAAAGAGATTTCAACAAACCCCATACAATAATCACTTCATCTTTACAACAGATCAACACCCTTTCTTAAATACGATGACCAAAGCTCAACAAAATATTCTAAATAAGATCTTATCAGTACCTTTCGGAGTGAATTGATGATCTCCTTCAACTTGTCAATATAACAATATAGCTTTATCCCTGTTTTACTTATTATTGGCTATTGTAAGCTGTGTAAAAGGCTTTAGGGACTTTGTAGGGGAAGCTATAGGAAATGATAAAAAGGAGAAATATCAGGGCATAGCTATTACAAAGCTATAGGAATAATTAAGGCTATGATACTGATATGAATAATCTTACTTTTATTAAATAAGATTCATAAACATCTGGCAGTTATTAACCAAACTCATCACATAGTCCTGCCCATCATGGCCAGGTGGTTAGGGCACTCGACTTGCAATCTGCGGGTCGCAAGTTCGAATCCCTGTCACAAACATGTTCGCCCAAACCTGCTACTCGAATGTCTTTAGTGTTGTTAAGTATAATGGATTCTTTACAGATGGTTCCCAGTTCCTAGGGACGTTCACCAGGGGTGCCCCCTTTCGGCTCTGCTGTATATTTTGTGTGTCGAACCCATTCATGCTTTGCTTTCCAGTAGTGTAGCTATTTCGGAATTTGTATTGACTGTAATGAGAGCTTTGTTTTTCAGCATGCTGGTGATCTCAGTTATATTATGTGATGTTAACACTGTCTCTCCCCTGTTAGATGAGTGTGCCCTTTTCGGTAGGGCATAGGGCAGAAAGAATAATTTTTCTAAGAGTAGGAGATTGTGGTTAGGAGAGTGGTATGATTTAGGGGTGAGTTAGTGGATAGGATTCTTGTCTCAAATGATCCATTGAAGATTTTGGGCATTATTTCTCATGCTGATAGCGAGGTAATGTATTCGTTAAGTTGGTCAGATGTGGCGACTCGGTTTAGGAAGGTTCTGGTCTCTTGGAGGCATAGAGCCTTATCACTTAGGGGTAAGGTGCTGGTTCTTAATTCTCTGGCTGCTTCTCTCCTGTGCTATCCTTTGCAGGCCTTGCCTATGCGCGATTCGATGTACGATCAGATTCACTTGAATATACTTTGTTTTGTGTGGAATGTTGGCATTCGTAAAGTGAGGTATGATATTCTAATTAAGGATACTAGTGAAGGGGCATTAACTTGGTGAATGTTCGTTTACGCAAGTACGCATATAGATTGAAACTTTTGCAGTCTGGTTTGGAGGGACGATGCCACCCAATTTTTTTGTATTTTATTTTGTCCTTTCTCAATGATGTAGGTGGTTTAAAGTTGGGATTTCGTATTTTTCTTTGTAAGGTCTCTTTTCACTTTTTGCATTTTCTTCCTTGTTTTTTGTTGAAATATTTCGGGCTTGGGAGTTTTATCGCATGCGGCGTGTCGGCCTCTTGTTGCAGTCGTAGCTGATATTTATTGTCAATCTTTATTTCTTAATCCTGATTTAACTGATTCTGCTGGCCGACCATTCTTTTTCCGAGAATTTATTGCAGCCGGAATTGTGCAGGTGCGTGATTTGTTGCACGAAGTTCTTTCCAGATTTTTACGTCCTGCAGCTGTAGTTCAGCAGGTTTTGGATTGTACTCCCGATTTACAGGCTAGTTTTGTGTTACATCATTTGTCATTACTATTATTCAGTTTACCCCCTCTTTGGAAGGACCGCATTCTTCAGTGTTTGCCTGCAGGGTATGGTACATTTACCTTCTATTTGTATTTTTATGATCCCTTTAAAGATGATATTCAGAGTTTGTCAGGGATCACTCTAAAGATGTTTACTTGATGGTTGAAACAAATTTTTTTTCTCGCCGAAATCAGCCTCGTTATTTCTGGTTGTCTATGGTGGCACAAGACAATTGGAAAGTCATATGGACTAATACGTTTGATGACTTTGTCGGGATCGATCTTTGTGAACTTGATTATTTGTTGTGGCAGTACGCTGTGACTATGAATGTGAAGCTTGTACCTATGCCCGCTCCCGACACTGGGTTTTGTTTCTTTTGTGGTGCTTGTGGGAGACAATTATCCATTTATTTTTCCAATGTTCTGAAATTAAAGACTTATGGACGCTTGTGTTTCTTTTGATTAGTCAAATAGTGGGGACGGATCTGTCTGATGGGGAGAAATGATATGGGGGCTCTGATTGGATATATAGCAGGCATGGTTTGCAACAAACGGTAGTTGTCTCGTTTACTGTCATCTGTGGCAAAGTCGGTCATTTATGCGGCACTAAGCATTAAATTGTCACTGAATGTTCTGCCTCACTTGGTTAGTGTCTATAGGTCTCGTTTAAAGGCACGTATTTATTTTGATTATCGACATTATTTCCTCAAAGATAATCTAAGTA